TTTAAAGAGGTTTTGCCTTGGGGCACATGTGCTCACTGGAGAGAGAGAGAAATAGAGACAGTGAGAGGGAAAGTGAGAAATCATCGCCCAGGAGAGATGGCCATGCCACAATCCAGTCTCTTTGTGGCATATTAGGCACGTATGCACATGTGCCCGGTGTGATTTTCAAGCTACCAGGTCTGGGGCTTGAATTGCAGGTGGCCATGTTGGAGTCCAGTGATGTAACTCCTACACCATCTACTGGCCCCTGGTCTAAACTCTTGAAGGCTGAAGTGGGGGAAAAAATTGGAAGCCATGATGATATTAAATTGGATCAAATATATTTCTCTGCTGGCCAATTGGGGTCATTGTTAGTCAACAAAGTGGCATAATTCTTAGTTCATAGTGCCTTTCAAATAAATATTAATAATAAAGTAAAGTATTAATGAATTGATTAATGTATTTTAACATATGTAGTTTTTTAGTGAGGATAGAAAGGAAATGTCTGTTGATGATATTTTTGTTGAAAGATTTATTTTTTTTATTTAGAGATTTTTGTTATAGGGCATGTATGCTTGCTGGAGATAGAGACAGAGAAAGAGAAAGGAGACACCCTCCCCACCCCCACGAGGGATGGCCACACTGCAATTCCTTCTCCATTTTCCTCTTGGGAGAGGGATGGCCACACTGCAATCCCTTCTCCATTTTCCTCTTGGGATTTTGGACACACATGCACATTGGCCCAGTGTGAGTTTCAAGTCACCGTGTCTAGGACTCAAACCATGGTCAGTGTGTAGGAGTCCAGCATCTTAACCACTACGCTACCTGCTGGCCCTGAAAAATAATTTTAATGGAAAATAAATGTACATAAGTAGGTAATCTTTTTAGAGTGAGTTTATATGAGTCGTCTTATATCCTGGAGACAAGTAGTTCTCTTTGAACACCTTATGAAGTTACATTGAAAATGGTGAGAAGATCATTTAATTACATGTTTTATTTTATATAGCAAAGATGCCAAGTAATAAGTAATTAGTATGTACAGTTACTGTGTATAACTGCTGTAAATAAGTAATCTCTATAATTAACTTAGAATTTTGGTTCACAAATTTCAATGCTGGTTTGTGACATAGTTCTTAACCAATATTGAATGAAATAAGACAATAAAGATGTCATAATACATTTAAAAAATAAAGTTGAATTTCTTCCATTTAAAGGGCTACTCTTAGTGCTGGATGTATCTTCTTTATGTTTTTGGAATGTTAAAATATACTTTCATTTTATGACATGATAGTTTTAAAGATGATAAGTTGAGTTTTTTGCTTGTTTGCCTTAATATTCGTATGTGGGTCAATAAAAATAGTCAAATTCTTGTCAGTAACTTAGTTTTTTTATTGGTCTGTTGAATCTCTAGAGCTGGAGACCACTACTTTAGTTGAATGATTCAAATCAGAACCATTTAGTAAGTTTAATGGTGTTATCGATAAGAAGACTTCAGTTCTTATTTTGTGTGTAACCTCAGAGATAGGAAGAGGATAGTGGGAAGGCAATATATTTTATATAAACATTTATTTTATAAAACACAACTTATTTTTGTGTGTGTTTTGTTTAATTATTTTGACCTTGTAATAAGGTTTTGAAATAAGTTTCACTTTCTATTTATAATAAACTTACTTCTCCCTAAGCTTGACTTCTCTGAGTTTCCTGTGCTGTTGAAGGCAGAGTTCAGAAAACTTCAAATACTAAAATGATGGAGTGTGTCTGTATAAGATTTATTTGACGAATTTAAATTTGGGAGCCTTACTTAGCTAAGTAAATTTCTGAATAAAGTAGAAATTGTACCTGTATGGATTTCCTGTTGATGACTGTCATGTTTTTTTCTTTTTTTTCCCCAGTGAACCAACCTGAAGCACATTTAGTCACAGGTAGATCAGAAACTGATGAAGTCTCTGAGCTAAGCACTGCTCATGAAATCGTCATAAACCAAGACTTCTATGTGGAAAAGAATATTTTATCTCCAAACAGGTACAGACTTCCAGTTTTCTATTTTACTATTCTTCACTAGGTAGATAGCAAAAATCACTTGATCATGTAAGCATTTTATTAACTTCAGTATTTAAGTATGTCTTAAAAGGTACCAACAAATAAAAGGAAGAGTAATTGGAGTAATAATTAGTTTTAAAGGCCAAAGCATGCCATTATATTTAAACAGGGAATAAACCAATGCAGTTATTGTCGAAATGTTAATTTTGGGATCCCAGTAAATAAAGAAACATAGAGTGAGTTAGTTCCGTGCAGTTAACTTTTAACTGTTTAAAGATAAAACAAGTATAAATGAACAGATTACTTTTTAAAAATTGTATTCCCCACTCGTCTTGGTATAAAAAATTTCAGAGACTATTACTGCTTTGTAATCTGCTTAATAAAAATTTTGTGAATCAGGTTCAGAACCTCATTGATGAATAATGCTTCTCTAAAATTAGGCTTTAATTCAGTTCCTCTTAATTACATTGATATCACAATACATAAATAAGAGTCATTCAGTAAGTATAAATTAAATTATTCTGATGGTTTATTAGTAGTTAAATGAGTAAATTTGCCAGAATTTATATTTTACAGTATTCCTTAAACACTTTTTTCCACCTTAAACACTTTGATAATTTCGTCACTTTAGGGATTCTGGGTCTAAAGGAAAAAGATCATCTAGTTCAAATATTTTAATCTATAGAGATGGAAACTAAGTCACACATCTAGGCTAGATCCACAACTATAGTTAAAATTAGTGTCTCAACCCTTAGTTCATGGTAGAGCTTCTCTGGAACCAGGAGATGCACTTATGAAAGGGTTTGGCCAATGCTTTTTCATCTGAGACTAACCGGTTCTTTCAGCCCTTCTCAAGTCTAAGCATAGCTCCTCCTGGCCTGCCAATTTAATGGAATTCTGTTATTTTTAAATGCTGTTTGGGAGATTATATTCCTCTATCAATTCCCTCGGTAAAGAGCAATTTACTCATTTAACTTTCTCACAGTTTGGAAGGCAGCTTCGTGGAGACAATGTACAATGCTTTTTGGGACCATCTGAAAGAGCAGTTATTGACAACTCCTCCGGATTTCACCTGTGTTCTTGAGCTTCTAAAAGAAGTTAAGGAGGCGAGTAATCAACCTTTCATTGTGGATGTGAAGTTCTTGGGTATCCCAGGCCCTTAGATTGCTGATGGTTACTAATATGCTAAGTAGAATACTTTCTGAACATGGTCCACTACTTAGTATGGAATAATTTCCATTTTATTTGTATGAAGTGAAGCTTCACAGTTGGGATATTGTTGTAACAACATAATTTGTCATTCAATTAAACAAATTTTCACTAAACTCTTACTATGTTTTATGTGTTTCAGAAGCACAGAGATGAGTAAGAGAGCCTTTGCTGTAAGAAACATACTTTTGAATCAAAAGGCCATGTAAAGTGACCTTTAAAAATTTCTTTGCTTCTTAATTACCTGCCCTTTGAAGTAAAACAATCTAAAAATGTCCTTATTCTTTATTAAGAAAGCATTATCACCTTGTTGTTGGTGTTTTATATTTCTTACATTATTTTAGTGTCACTTTTTTTTTTCCTGAGAGATTTTTGCTATAGGGGTGTGTGCCATTACCAGAGAGACAGAAAGCAAGAAATTCCCTCCCAGGGAGGGTGACCACACCTCAATCCCTTCTCCTCCATTCTCCTCTCGGGATCCTGGGCATGCATGCACATGCACCTGGAATGAGTTTTAAGTCACCAGATCTGGGACTGAACCATAGTCGATTACATGGGAGTCCAGTGACGTAACCATTACATGATCTGCTGGTACCATCACTCTTGTATTTTAGATAGTATATCTTATGCTGCCTAGGAAACAATAATGACTATTACTATAACTGATCCCAGTGAAGCTTTGAATTGTAGTTGTTCCTTAAACAGAGGGTAATGATACTTTGTAAAAAAAATTAGAGACCAGTTTCCTGACTTCGGGAAGATAAAGTATGGGATGCCTTTGGCCTATGAGGGGTTATTTAATGGAGACCATTCAGGATTCTAAACAGAATGTGGTTTCTGATTTCCTTTTTTTGGGCAGATCTTACTATCACTGTTATTACCACGCCAGAACCGTCTAAGAAATGAGATTGAAAAAGTTCTGGACATGGATTTCCTCAAGCAAGAAGCTAAGCATGGGGCCCTGGATGTCCCTTACCTGTCTAACTACATCCTCCGTTTGATGAACCTGCTCTGTGCACCAATTCGAGATGAAGCAGTGCAAAAACTAGACTGCATAACAGATCCAGTGCAGTTACTGAGGTGAGAATGTAGGTGCATTATCCCTGAAGTCTGCCAAAGACATCATACCAGAAAACTTTGAGCCAGATAATGTGAATATAACCTCTGTCCTGTCTAGCTCTCTGTACTAAATACTTGACTAACACTTTATTTCTCCTCCCTGGACTATTAGGCCTTTATTTTCTAAGAACATTTTCTTAGGGTTCCTTTAATGGTCTTTAGATCATTTGGGCCCCCTTTATGACAGGATATTGTTAAGACATTAGAGTACAGTAATTCTTTTTCTACAGATTGCAACAGCCTTTTCTCAGATGTTCTCCCATTCATCCCAACTCAAACCCTGTGAGGAGACCAGAATGAGAATTTACTCCTCTTTTATAGCTAGAAGAATCAAAACCCTGAAAAATACAATGAATACCCAGTGAGTTAAAAATTCAGTCACTCACATTCCATTTACCCACAGGTAGTTGTTAGCACCTTAAGGATTTTCATTCCACTGACTCTTTTTCCAAGGTGACAAAATGACTAAAGTGGAAAGAGATCTAGAATTGGTAGTTGGAAAGTCAGAAGATGTATCCTTAGTTCCACCACCACTTCAGTGTGGCCTTGGGCCACCGGTCAGTGTGTGTTTGCTTGTAAATTGAAGCAGGACTTCTTTTATTCTTTTTTTCTAATTTATTTTATACATTCAGTCACTGTACATTACTTGGCAGGATTGTTTTTTTTAGAGTTTATTTCCTAAGAGAAAGACAGATAGGCATTCTTGACAGGGTCTTTATTCTATGATCCTCTCGCTAGCTCTGTGGCCAACCAAGACCACAGGCATATCCACAGGTTGAATACACCCAGTGTGTTCAGGAAGACCAGGGATGGCAATCTGCAGCCTTTTCATATGGCCTTCAGCATAACAAAACAGCACCCCTACTGTCTGTGCCACTGCAACTGGTCCAGCCTATTGTTTTTAAAGGCCGCTACTAACTCTAAAATACTGTGATTGGTTTTGACTCCTTGTTTGGATTCTATTTCTTCACACTTGATTTCCTTTCATAGTGTAAATATTCTATTTTTCCCTATGACAGGGGCATCTTCCATGTTCTGGGCTTGATGAAAATGGACATGGCAAACTATACTATCCAGAGCCTTCGACCATATCTGCAGGAACAATCTGTCCAGTATGAACGAGCTAAATTCCAGGAACTCCTTGACAATCAGCCTAGTATGTTTAAAATTTAAGGGCAGAAGAGGGGAGATTTTATGTTATGTCTGCTTCCTCACAATCATAGAACATGTTTTCTATTGTTGAGTAGAAAATTTCTTCTTGAGTAAAGGAAAGGGAGAAGGAGCATTTCTCTAGGACAGACACAGACCTACCTACAAAAGCACTTTTTTATTGACCAAGGGTATATATTTTTTTAAAAAAAATATGATTTTTTTCTCACACTTAATCACTGTGAATCATTACAGCATACCAAATGCATTTTCTCATCCTGAATACACTGTATATTGGTTCAATCAAAGATACTACCACACAATTATCATCAACAGATAAGAGTATATCTTAAAGCCTTAGTTTTCAAGTTTTGAGATTGAAGAGATATATTTCCTTCTTTGTCCTTTGTCACAGATCTCCTTGATTACACCAAAAAATGGCTAACCAAGGCAGTCAGAGACCTCACCAAACCATATCCGAGTTCTCTTGACTCTCCCAGCACTTCTTCCAGCTTGGGCTGTTTATCCACAAATTATGAAGTTGACAATTCAGAACTCCCTACTCCCACAGTGGTACTATACCAGGGATATCTGAACCTCCTTCTCTGGGATAATGAAAGTGAAGAATTCCCTGAGGTAGGAATGTGTATTGGGGTACTGCATTGTTATTTTCTTTTTGATACATCCATTAGAACCCTCTTGTCTGACAACCTGTTTTTTCCCTTCCTTATCAGACTCTACTGATGGACAGAGTCAGGCTCCAGGATATAGAAGCCCAGTTGCAGCAGTTAACCATTGTGGCATCAGTCTTGCTAGTGGCCAGAAGTATTTCTGGTAAAGTTTTATTCAGCTTACCTGAATTTTTGGAGAAACTGAAATGCATAACCAAGGCCCTGATGAAGGACTTTAACTCCAAGTAAGATTTATAGATATTTCTAAGAGTGGAAAATAATGTGTGATACTTGAGACATAGGCAGGCAACACATTACTGTTTATACTTCATCACAAACCACGCAAAGGCCATTGGGAACCATCTCTAAAGATTGTTGATGTTCTTGGCTCACCACAGTAGCACACATACAGAACCACTGCTTGGAAGTCACATTGGAGGCTTGGGTATAGTTCCCAGGTACTGAACAGAACAGGTGCAGTTGTATATGCCTGTAATCCTAGATAATTGGGAGGCTGGAGCAGAAACATCACAACAGAGCAAGACCCTGTTAAAAATAGCTTTGTCTTGGTGACCAGTAGATGGTGTAAGGTTAGTCAGTGGATTCCTGTGTAGTAGACTGTAGTTCGGTCTTGGACCCAGTGGCTTAAAACTCATGCTGGGTGCACGTACATGTGTGCCCAAAATCCCAAGAAGAGACTGGAGAAGAAGGGATTGCAGTGTGGTCACTGCCCCCCTGAGGGGGGGGGGTGGTTTCTCATTTTCTATTTCTGCATCTTTCTCTGTCCAGTGAGCACAAGTGCCCTATCTCAAAAAAAAAAAAAAAAAAGATCTCTTTCTCAAAAAAAACTTTGTCCCCATCTCTTACTTCCCTCTTCTTTCTCTCTCAGAAAGGAAGGAAAAAAAAGATTGTTGGTTTTCATCGTAAGTCATTTTGAGGGTTGTGACAGAGAAAAACACAACTTATTTCCAAAGAGGAGAATGTGGAGATTACTTTGCTACAAATACTCATTATTGTTCTTGCTAAAAATAAGCCATTATGTATACTTGATTGAGTGCCAGTGCATTTGTGCTATCTATATCCAGAAGTTGATCTGTTGGTTAGTATCATTTACTTCCTACAGAAATGTTAAATCAAAGTAAAAAGAGGAATTAAAAGTCCAGGTCTCTTAGTACATTTGCAATATAATTGGTGAAGTAGGAATAGCAATGACCAAAAATATCCAAGAAAAATGTGAAACAATATTTAAATGAAGTTTATGGAACCTAAGAATACTGAGTAGATCTTAAGGATATAACTAAACCCCTGTCTAACTTACCTATTTTCTTTGAAGTATCATACTGTACTATATGTATTGATTAGTTGATACTTTGATGGTAATTCTTGTCTATTAGTCGTAGAGGACTGGATTTCCCCCTTGAGTGGACATGGCTTCTGGTGGGGTTTGCCACTGTGCCAGAGCCACTCTGATTTCTGTCCTTCATTATCTAGGCCTCAGGAGGTTATGCTGAATGTGAGTGAACAGGTATATCAGAAAATCCATCAAAGCCTCAAGAACATGCGTCTCACTCCTCTGAGCAGAGAAAATATAGCATCTCTTAAAGCCCAACTCCGGAATATCGCCAAGAAAGACAATTGCATTCGTACCATTTTTGGTAAGAATCCCCATGGTAGTGGTGAGGAAGAGTGGCAAGAATTTGGGGAATGGGCAGGTAGCCCCTACCCCAGAAGTGAGTTTTTGAATCATTTAAAAATGAAAAAGTATGATAATTATGAAGTCTTTCAGATTTAGTTTCCTCATCTCCTTCAGTTTGAAGGGTGAATGTATGGGTTTGAAGTGGATCTGAAGTGAGTATGTAACTCACAGGTGTGGGATACAGTACCACTAGCCCTACTAAATCATCCCTGACTATTCTGTAATTGTAGCCTAAGAATTATTATTGGAAACCTTTTTTCTGTCCCATGCTTTAGGCTCCCATATGGGCCTCTATTTCCCTCCATTAAAATGGATGCTGAGTTAAGCTGTACATGTTACATACTGGAATGGAAGCAGTGAACTTGGCCAGCTTGCTTTTTTTGCTCTTTTTTTTTTGAGAGATATTTTTGCTCTAGGGCACGTGTACTCTCCCGAGAGACAGAGAGACAGAAAGTGAGAAATCACCCTCCAGGGGGATGGCCACACTGCAATCCCTTCTCCTCCATTCTCATCTTGGGATTTTGAGAATGCAAGCACATGTGCCCAGTGTGAGTTTCAAGTCACCGAGTCCAGGACATGAACCACAGTTGGCCACATGGAAGTCCAGTAACATAACCATTATGCCATCTGCTGGTCCCATCCAGCTTGCTTTTAACTTTAGCATCTGGTTGTATGGACTTGAACTTGGTGCACTGGCTGTAGCATGTGTCCCTAGAATTTTAAATACAGTATATAGGATCTCACTTAGAACAACGTAAAGTCATCTTATGAACAGTTAGACATTAGCTTACATCTTTTGATCTTGCATTGTCTTTTGGAGCTTGATGGCATTCCCTCTAAAACAAAAGAAAACAAATCTCATTTGATTTACTTGAATGAGTAATTAGGTCAGTGAATAACTTAAAACTTAGGTGATCAGAGAGTGCAAGGGCAATAAGAATTTCTTCTGAAACCTCTTTGTTACCCTTTTCTTTTCTTTTTTTTTTTTTTTCCGTACAGATCAGCGAATCCGTTTGTTTCTCAAGTGCTCTTTGATTCACGGCATGCAGGAGGCTCTGCTACACTTCCCTGGAGGCCTTCTTCGCATCGAAGGGGAGTTGGCAGAACTTGGCTGGAAATTTGTCAGCCTGATGCGTCATAATCAGCGGGTGTTCAGCCCATATTACACTGAGATCCTAAAACATATCATCCCACCAGCTCAGGCACAAGAAACGAAAGTAAAGCCTATTTGACAGTGCTAGACCCCAATCATGGCAACAGGAACCCAGGAGAGAGGGCTCAGTTTGCTCCTGGATTGACATCACATCACCTGTGGCCAATGCAGCAGCTAGCCCTCTGCTTCACAACAGCCAGGACACAAGGCTGTAGGGGTCAAACATGTTAAAACTAACCAGCCTAACCCTCTTCCTAATAAACTTCTGAGCTTCAACCAACTCAGTTCCTTCTGTGCTACAGCTGAAGTGAGGTTCTGCACCCTTATCCCCTAACTAGCTGAGAAGCCAAAGAGTCCTCAGTTTTCTATTCACTGGCTGATCATTTAAAGAATGATCACTCTGAAAACTTGCTTTATCTTGTTAAACAAGTGGCTATATTTAATACCCTAAAAGTTTTTTTTTTAAGCTATGTTTTACTTCTCCTTTAGAATTCCGTTTAAAAGGATGTACTTTCACTAATGTCCCCACTATGTCCAAACAAAGATTTTTATTTTAAGAGAGATTTTTGCTATAGGGTACATGTGCTCATCAGAGAGAGACAGAGAGAAAGTGAGAAATCACCCCCAAGGGGGGATGCACATGCCGAAATTCATTCTCCTCCATTCTCCTCTCGAGATCTTGGGCACACTCACATGTGCACCTGGTGTGAGTTTTAAGCCACCAGGTTTGGGACTTGTACCACAGTCGACTATGTGGGAGTCCAGCGATGTAACCATTATGCAATCTGCTGCTCCCCAAAGGTGTTGTTTTCCTTAAAGAATTATTTATTTAATTTTATTTATCATTATTATTATTATTTTAACCAGAAAGAGAGAAAGAGTGAGAAAGCAAACTGCCAGGTCTGGGACTCAAACCATGGCTGGCCATATGGGATTCCAGCATCCCAACCACCACACCATGTGCTGCCCCCCCCCAAAAAAAAAGATTTAAGAAAAGTACGTAGGCATCTTCACAGTTGTGAGGTTACTGAAACTGTGTTCATGATTCTCCATGTCAGTCAGCAAATGAAAGGAGATCTACAGTGTCGTACACTGTTACTCAGCACAGTGTGTATCATGAGGCTATTCAGAATGGCTCTAACCAATTTTAGAATCATTTTATTGATAAGCAAGTACTGAAAATAAACAAAAGAATCTCAATATATCTTAACTTTTGTAAACCCTGTTTTATGGATAACTTTTCAGTTTTCCCAAAAGGTTGATATATTTCAATATCTTGAATACTACATCAGTATAAATTTTGTGTCGGTAGTAATAACCTAACCAACCATCATTATGTTTTGGTACTAAGAGATATACCTTCAAATAAAGTTATTGAAATGTAAAAAAAAAATTAATAAAAAAAAGCCTTAATTTTGGAAGCCAGAGTATTTTAGTGACAAATGTGCTTTGAAAGGATCCCTGCGGAAATGACAGAGTAGATGGTACAGACATTGAGTTAAAATGAAACTTTGCTTTGTACTTTATCTTAGCATATCCGATTTGTCAAGAATTTTGATTGAGTTGATTCATCTGTACTTCTACATGGAAGAAGCAGGAGTTTTGATCCTAATTAAGAAATGATATCTCCATTCAATCCTTGCTCATCCTTTAGGAAAGGAGGGACAGATAGAGCAGACATGTGGTTAAAGTAACACAGTGAAGAGTCAGTTTCTCTCCCACTCCTGTGTCTCATTTCCCTTACATAGAAGAAACTATTAGCAGATTTTGTTGTATATTCTCAGAGATAATCTGTGTATATACAAGTATATATTGTAATAATAGCTAATACGTGTATATGTTCCAGACATTCTTTTGAGATCTCCATATATATTATTTCACTTATTCCTCAACAGTTAATTTCTAATCTACTTTTCCTATTGTAGAGATGTGTGGTTCTAGAAACTCCAAATGGGAGTAGGAACTTGTGTTTTATATTTTTGTTTATTTTCTCTGGCTAAGTGAGTACAGGAAAATCATTTCACTTTACTGGAATTTTTTTCCTTCATCTATTGTGTAGAAATTGTGTATTGGACTAAATCACAGATTTTGAACTAAACGGTGATTATTGTTTAATTTTATATAGTCATTTTGCAAAACAAATGAAGTCTTTTCAGAAGGCTATGCATAACATTAATAGATCACAGCCTAGGCAGTTTGAACTGAAGTAAAACTGGAAGGAGTTTTGAGAACTACTTGAAAATCATTGGATTAAATGATCTCTAAAGGTTCTTGTATTATTTTCTTATGACTGTTGTCACAAATTATCTCAGGCTTTGTGGCTTAAAATGAAATGAGTTTAGTTCTGGAGAAATCTAAAATCAGTTTTAGTGTGTCAAAATCAAGGTGTCAAAGGCCACTCTCATTCTGTAAGCTCTAGGGGAGAATCTATTGCCTTGTCTTTTCTAGCTTCTTCATCTGCATTTTTTATTCTTCCATTTTACTATCATCCAAACTTCAGTCATCACATTGCCTCTTTCTGTGTGAAATCTCCTTCTCTTTCCTTTTTTCCTTTTTCTTTTTTCTTTTTTTTAAAGAATTATTTTAGGGTCAGCAGTTGACGTGGTGGTTAAGAGTGCAGGACTCCCACATGGTCAACCACAGTTTGAGGCCTGGACCTGGTAGCTTGCTTTCTCATTCCCCCCACCTCTCTTTTTCTCACTCTGTCCCTCTCTGGTCAAATTAAAATAAGTAAATAACCTTTCTTGTCAAATTTGAGAGAGAGAAAAAGAAAGAGAAAGCGAAAACAAACTGCCAGACCTGGGACTTGAACTGTGGTCAGTCATGTATGGAAGTTCACCCTTAACCACCATACCACCTGCTGGCCCTTCTCTTTCCTTTGTAATGAGAACACTTCATTATTACATTTGGGGTCCACCAGGATAATCTTTCAACTGAAGATCCTTAATCACATCTGCAAAGTCCCTTTTACCATATAAGATAACATTGGAGGCTCCAAGGACTAGGACATGGAAATCTTTGAAGATCATTATTTAGCTTACCAGTCTGCCCTTTGACTGCCCCAAATTCATATATATCCAACATGGAAAATGTATTCACCTCATTCCAATATCTCCCACAGTCTCACATAAAATTCCCTGTTGTTTTGTTTTTGTTTTTGTTTGTTTTTTAGAGAGAGATTTTTTATATAGGTCACATGTGCTGGCCGGAGAGACAGAGAGAAACTGAGAAATCACCTTCTCTGCCCCAGGGAGGATGGCCATACCACAATCCCTTCTCATCCATTGTCCTCTTGGGATTATGGGCACACATGCATGTGTGCTTGGTGTGAATTTCAAGCCACTGGGTCCGGTACTTGAACCACAGTCATCCACAGAAATCTAGTGCCATAACCCACTGGCCCCCAAATTCCTTCTTTCAAAACATGCAATTCAGAGGGCCTGCAAGTGGTGTGGTGATCAAGACACTGGACTCTCACATGGCCGAACGCAATTCAAATTCAGGACCTGGCAGCTTGCTTTCTCACTTTCCCTCTCTATCTCTCTGTGATGCATGTGTGTGTCCTATACAGAATTTAAAAAAAAATAATAAAATTAAATTAAAAACATGCAGTTGAGTGGTTTTAAGTATGTTCACTAAATTACACAATCATCATCACACTTAATAACATTTCGATCATTCTAAAAAGAAATCCTGCACCTGTTAGCAGTCAGGCCCAATTCCCCCCGCCCTCATTTTTGGCAGCTACTAATCTACATTACCAGAGGCTCCTCTGTGAGTCATGTTCCTTGTGGCCTCACAGTAGTTTTTGTCAGGGTGTGAGAGGAAATGGAAGGGAGCAGAACAAAGCACTGTGACTGACCACCATCTATCTTGTGCTGGAGTGGTGGCTGCCCCACCAAGACAAGGACCTTGGCAGAAGGGTAGTAGTTAAAAGTTTTTCTTTAAGGAGAACTTTAAAGAAGTGTGAGAAGACTCACTTCATATGCGGCTACAGCTCAAGACTTCAAATCCTAGGACCAGAGAAAGGAAATAGAGCCCTAATGATTGGAATCTATGTATTGCCAATTTGAGGCTTAAACATGGATTTGGAATATTTCACTTCAATTTCCCAACTAGTCCAGTCCTTGTTGGCCTGGACTTCTGGGCCTTCAGGTCCAAGTGATGGGCCATCTTAAATGCCTGCTCCAAAGTCAGGATAGTCTAAGTCATATACTGGAAGGAAACATCACAAGCAAAAGGATCTGGGATTTAGGAGTTGTTTCTTTTTCTTAAGCCTTTCTTGTCACCACACGCCCATGCAGACTACAGGCACAGGCATACTCTGGACAAGAGAGATTACACTGACAGTGGGAGTTCTGGTTACATACATGATCTGTAATGAAATTATTTCATTTAATATTCAAAATAACTCCATAAAATGGGTTGTACTTTATCCCCCTTTTTACAGATGAGGAATGATACACAAAGGAAGGTTAAGTTATGATATGAGAAATATATGACAATCTGGACTTTCCAATAGATATCTGGACTACTATCAGCATAGCCTCCAGCTTCACCAAACAGAGTAATAGATACACCTTCTTTCTTTTTTCATTTTTTTAAAAAAGATTTGCTATAGGGCATGTACGCTCATCAGAGAGACAGAGAAAGAGACACAAAAAGTGAGAAATCACCCCCCAGGGGGGATGGCCACACTACAATCCCTTCTCCATTCTCCTCTTTGGATTTTGGGCATGCACACTCACACACCCAATGTAATTTTTTTTTTTAGAGGTTTTTGCTATAGGGCGTGTGCGCTTGCCAGACAGATAGAGACAGAGAGACAGAAAGCCAGAAATCGCCCCCCAGGGGGGATGGCCATGCTGCAATCCTTTCTCCTCCATTCTCCTCCCGGGATCTTGGGCATGCACACACATGCGCCCAGCGTGAGTTTTAAGCCACCAGGTCCCAGAAGCGAACCACGGTCGACTATGTGGGAGTCCAGCAACACAGCCATTACGCTAACTGCTGGTCCCCCCAATGCGAGTTTTAGGCCACCGGGACTGGGACTTGAACTATTATGCCATCTGCTGGTCCCAGATACACCTTATTTCTAATAATGAGGACCCAGATTTTTCTCTCTGACCGATTAAGGTACATCACCTTGAACACTTGATTAGGCTTCTCTGGATTGTAGCTAAATTGTATGCAAAAGCCCTGGACTTGGAGTGGATCTTCAAGTTCTCTTTGGCCTTTTTACATCACCTTTATGTTTGTCTTGTCTCTTCTTTT